TTTAGAGATAGATTTAAAAAATGGGTTTTTAGATGAAATTTTGATATGGATGAGTTTTAAAAGTTTGAATAAGATTTTTGACTTGTCAAGAGGTTAATTAAGGAATATGGAGTGTTAGAATTGAATTTAAAACATGTTGAAAATTGGGTATGATTCTTAGCTTTAAGAATTTGAATGAAGTATGGGAGATTTTAAACTGTTGAAATGATAGAAGTTAGTTAAAATGGTTGTAGTTAAGTTTGGTGGTATGAAAGGAACTTTGTATAAGAAAATTTAGTGAAGAGATGATGATTTTCTGGTTTGGACAGTAAATTCCGGGTTTTTACAGATTAAGCAGGAGGAACTGATTCCCTATGGGGAGGGTATCGATACCCCCTAAAGGAAAAGTTGAAGTTTGGTTCATTAAATTAGTTTAAGTTATTAGTATCAAGTTATAAGGTTTAGGCTTTTGATAATTGTCTCGGAAATTATGTTTATGTAGATATCGAGCCTAAACGAGTTTCGAAACAAGTGACAAGTAAGAACGATCGAGGGATTAGAACGATTGAGAAAGAGATAAGTTCTAGAATTGGTTCAAATCCAGCAAGGCTAAGGTAAGTGCATATTATAAGTATAGTACAATGGAATAAGGCTTGTGATAAGTCTAATTCCTATGTTGATTTTTATAGTACAATAGTTATGAACATGCATACATGATAATTATTATGATACATGCATAAGGTATATATGTTCATATGATTTGATAAATGATATATGTGAATAGATTCAAATACACATGTGATATGATAAGTGATATGAGCTATGTGATCACAAGAGAAATGACATGAACATATGAAACATAAGAATAATGCCCATAGTATATGATATGAGAGCTATAGGTATAGTTGGCATGCCAAGAGTCGAGGGTTTCATAGGTCTTTCGAGACAACTCATAGGTCATTCGGGACATATTCACAGGTCCTTCGGGACAAATTTCATATGTCACTCAGTGGGACTTATACGAGCTGTGGTGATAGCAATAGTGCACAACCTCAATGTACTCAAATACCTTGAGTTCTCAGTAATGTACATGGGCTTATAAAATGTTATCAAAGGTAATTGCATTATTATCGTTATATGTTACCATGTTATTATCGTTTACATTGAATTACATGTGACATGATTGAATGGATAGATTGCATGTTCATATTCATAAGGAATGCATAATTATTATATTTATATGCCTCACTAAGTCTATGACTTAGCGTGTAAGTGATTTACACGTAGGTACCAAGAACCAAGAATAACATAAATAGGAGTGGCAAGAACAGCAACACTGCTAGAAGATTCGATCAGAATTAATTGATAAAGTATGTATTTTGATTGTGTATCATATGTTGGCATATAAGAAATGTTTTAGTATGAACGCTCTGATCGACTTTTCTAACATTTTGAATGTATTTATGTAAATGTAAATATATAGTAATGAACGGTTAAATTTTTACGAGATTTATGTATGTTTTACGAAAGTACTGTAGCAATAATGTAGCAGGGGAATCGATACCCTGTAGCAGGGAATCGGTTCCCTGTTTGCAATTTGGAAAATAACATTTTGGTACTGTATCAGGTGTTGTTCATGATACTGTTCATGATACTATTCACGGTATTGTTCATTACTTTTCACGGTACTGTTCATACCGTATTTTACTGTTCATAAATTCGTTTTTGCCTAAAAAAATTTATACCAAACATAATTTAATGGTATATTATCGTATTTTATTAAAATAAGTTCAAATGTTTTATTATTTTGTAAGCAAAAGTATTTTAAAAAGTCAATGTGACATCTCGGACTCGTATTAGAGTCGGTACGGGTTGAGGTGTTACACTACAGTCGGATGATCATTTACATATTTTACCTTTAATTGTTTAGAGTGTAATGACTAATGTCTTCTTTGTCTCTTATAAAATTAATCTTTCATAAGTCATAAAATCATTAATTGAGTTGGTATCATGAGTCACTTGGCAAAAAATTGAATTTATAAATCCTTAAAATATTTTTATTTTAAAGGGTAAGCAATATTGTTGTAAAGATAGTTTTAACTTTTTATATTTTCCTTTAATGTTTAAATGAAATAATAAAAAAATATTTATAAATCAAATATTAGATCGATAAATTCATATAACATTTACTTATCACTTAAATAATTTTAATAAATATGTTTTTCATTAAGTATGTATGTATGTATGTATGTATGTATGTATGTATGTATGTATGTATGTATGTATGTATGTATGTATGTATGTATGTATGTATGTATGTATGTATGTATGTATGTATGTATGTATGTATGTATGTATGTATGTATGTATGTATGTATATATATGTATGTATGTATGTATATATGTATGTATGTATGTATGTATGTATGTATGTATGTATGTATGTATGTATGTATGTATGTATGTATGGATGCATGTATGCATGCATGCATGTATGCATGCATGCATGTATGCATGTATGCATGCATGCATGTATGCATGTATGCATGCATGCATGTATGCATGTATGCATGTATGCATGTATGTACAAATAAACTCGTAAAGAGATGTTGAGACATTTGTTTTTAGTAAAGAGATGTTGAAAATTTAAATTTGTACCAAGTTGCAAAGTTTTAAAGTTTGGAAGGTAGATTGATAGTTTTTTTTTAAAAGTCGGTTATACATCAAAGAAGATTTTGATTCATATTTTATTATTTAATCGTGAATCAACATAGTTTTGAATTTGTATGAGACAATCTGTAAATAAGAAAATATTCAGGGACTAAAATGAAATTTTTTAACAGGAGAAGGATTAAGCTGTATGAACCATTAAGAAGTTGATCCTCATAAAAACTGAAGAGAACTGGAAGTAATGTAGTGGACGCGCAATAAAGACCCCGGCACTTCAGTTAAACCAATTTGTGAAGCCATCGGAAACGTTGAATCATTTAATTTTTAACTTTTGGGGGAAAAAATACTTTGACTCAAATTATATTTTTATCATTAATTAGCATCATGAATTATTTTATACAAAATTCAAATGAATAATTTGAATATATATTTTGACATGGATACCAAAATTTAAATTTGACTTTTAAAAGTTATACAAATAATAATAGACCAACTTTAAGGTGGCTTGGAATAAACATAGATTATTGTTTAATTTGAGGCAAACATAGATTATTGTTTAATTTGAGGGAAACATAGACAATTGCAGAGATGGTCATAACTCATTGGCCAATTCATTCTAACTTTTAAACAGAATGGACCGCTCAAAAACAGCAAGTAAGAAAGGGGAAATCCATTTAGTAATCAAGCGAAATGATTACAGAATAGCTTTCGCACTGTTTTCTCCCATTGTGAGGAATAAAAAACATACGAATAAGGAACTCCAGCGTTGGGGAATATAATAGTTTCATTATTATATAAACAAGAAAAGGTCAGCCTGTCTATAAAACCCTAAAAATCGTGGTTTTTTTCTTATCTTTATTATTTTTGTTTTTTATGTCGTATCTTTATTATATTTATTTTTTATTTTCAATAATTTGTTTGTGTTACACATTTTTTATATGTCTTTATGAAGTATTTTTAATGTTTTTTGGGTATGTTTTTTATTTTTTTGTTTTTTTCATTTATTTTTTTTAAGGGTTGATTTGATCTTGTTGATATTTCTTATTTTGAACAATCAGATTGAATTTGGATACTAGATTTACTTTTACGACTTTCGAGTCTGATTTGCGATTTGTTGATGGTCTTTCAATAGTTAAATTCTTTTTTGTGATTCGTTTGTCGATTTAGATCTATTTGTATCTATATTTGTTCGAATTTCTTAGTTAAATTTAATCTTTTCTTGTATGATCTTTATACGATCTTAAATTTCTAATTTTGTTTAAATGATTATAAGAATTTTTTTTTAATTATATACTTAATTTATGATTATGATTAAAAAAATTTATTGTAATTTAATATATTTTTAATTTAAATATAATTAGTTGCTTCTATAAAAAAAAAAAATTTGCTTGTCTTGTTCCTATATATAAGGGTCACATACAAGAGATATGCTTGTTGGCCACCTACACATTAATTTCTGGATTTGATAGCGTGTGGGCTGAGGCTAGCTATGATTGCTAGCTAAGGCTATGGGCCACCATTTTATGATAAAAGAAATGCCCTCTCTCAAAAGCCCTGCCTACCTTTTATCCCCTAATATCTCATGGCTAATCATTTCTTATCATGACAACAATAAATAAAAGCATTAACTTTCTTTTTTAAATACTTATATCATTCCATGATTTATATGACTAAGAATCTGATATATGTATCATGCCTTGTTTTTTTGGGGTACTATATATTTAAACTAAAAGAAGAAAGCCTGTATTATTGAAGTGAAAGAGATGATGATCTATATATTATCCCCACAGTTCATGACACATTGGTAACCCAATATCTAATTAGTTGCTGCTTTTACCTTTAAATATCTATTACTATCATTGGCGTCAATATGGTAATTCCATTGAGAACAGTGATGTTTAAAACAATTTGCCAAAATATTATATATCAAAATTTCAAGATGAAAACTTTAGACTCCAACAATAATATGTCCCCATGATGCCAATAGCCTATGAGGAAATCATGGTTGTACCCCAAATACCATTTATAATTGGAGCAAGGTTGTTTTGTCCAAAATGTACAACCACGTGGCTTTACGAGCCTTAAATATTAACAACTGGAATTCTAAACAGTTCCTCAACTATTTTATGCAAGACATTTGATTTCTTACCCTAAATTATTAGGGTGGTGGTGTTCACAAAGAAAATAAACGAAAAACACAGATTTTCATGATTGCCGTTACCTGATTATACTTTTATGCTCAATATTTTAACGACGACTGCTACCATCTTTTGTCTGTACTACTCAGACGACAACTTTGACAAAGGCCATGATCGTCTATGTATGATGAACATAATAATGGTACGATAAAATTGGCCAGAGAATAGAGGCTACTATCATTTACATATAATTAAACCCAAAAGGAGGGTATAATCTTTCAAGAGAGTGGTGGGGGGAAAACAGTGATTTGGATTTACATATGTTGAAAATCATGGTTAAAATGAGAACAAGAGAGATTCCCTCTCTTTCATACATCATGATGATATATATTCACCATGCTAATCTTTGTGGAGATTTTTTTATAATATTTTAGATAAATCCTAATCAGATGAACATATCCATGATTCCACCATACCTTCACCTTTGGTAGCTACATTTTCCTGCCCTTTATCGCCGTGAAAATCCGATGAAAGAACCGGAAAGTTGTTCCCTTTCCCATTTGTAACTCTTTGGGTGTTACCGTTGTAGCCGCCGTCATTGATGGACCTTACAAGACTTTGATCATTTACATCTTGGGACCATGTTGATGATGATGGAACCGTGTTTTGGAACCCGCTCAGGTTGGTGTTTCCATGCCCCTGGCTCATGCCGAACTCTTCAAAAACACCCATTCTGAGAAGAGACTCGTTCGATGGAATATTCAAGGACCCTGTCGAATTGGAAACTGGGTATTTTTGAGGGGTTTCGAGGAGAGATACGAAGTTAAGAATTGGGTTTTGCATGCCGATGTTGTTCGGTGGATTTTGAGGTAGATGGTAGTTAATGGAAGTTGTACTGGAAGTGGAATTAGTACTAGGTGTAGAAGCTATATCATCAACCATGGAAGAGGAAGCTTTAGAAGAAGAAAAAGTAATAAATGGGGGAGGATACTGGAGTTTTTGGGCAAATGGTCTTAAAAGATAATGAGGAGACGAAGGGTCCAACTGAGTCGATCTCATACTGGGACTCGTACCAAACAGATCAAGCCTGGTTCTTGGGAAAGGTGAGGAGGAGAAGGGCGGTGCAGGGATCCCGGTGAACTCCTGAACCATGGCTCGGAAATTAATGGTGTCTGTCGTAAGAACGGTCGTTGGGGCACGCCGAGAAGCTCTGGATCTCTTCTTTGAGTTACGAACCATACTGTTGTTGCTGGGTTGTTGGTCGGTTGTGCCTGAAACTGAAGCTTTTTTACCACTTTCTGATCCTACAGGGATCTGTACAGAAGAAAAAGTGGTTCTACTATGTGCTTGTTGTGAGGCCATAAACCCAGCGAGATCATTGCAACCGGGATCGAATCTTGTATTTTTGGACCAAACCACATCAAGGTTTTGGTTCGTCGCACTTGATAGAGGATGATCGAAGTAGCTCGATAAAGGGTCAAAAAACATAGACGACGGAGACTGACTTTGGTGGTGGTGGAGTTGCCGTTGCATCACCGCCGGCTGCGACGGTTGTTGGATGCCCAAGTAATCATGACCTACATGGCTCGATGTGTTACTGTTAAAAAAAGCTGAGAACGAGTTAGCGCGTGAATCAAACTCTTCACTGCCACCACTCGACGAATGAACACTACCACTGTTACCAGAATCCATGAGAAGAGATACAGATGTGGAGAGAGCTTTGTTTCCCCCTTTCAGAGAAGAGATTTTTTGCTCGCTTCACTACCCAGACTCATTTAAGAAAGAAGCTCTCCAACAAAACAAAGCACGAAAAAGCAATATAAAAGAAAGGGGAAAAAAAGGGAGAGAGAAGAAAGAGGAAGATTTTCTGGAAGAAGAGTTACCAGAAAGTACCCATGTTGCCTTTAAAGCTCTGATCGAAAAAACAAGACAGTGTTTTGCTTTGCTTTTTACTTTGTCTTTCCAACAAAAGGGCATGTAATAAATTAAACAAAGGAGCTTTAAACTAAATGATCTGCAGGTAAATCGAAAGTAACAAGAATTAGGGTTTTTTTTTATGAAAATCGATTGGTCAAAGTATAAACAAAGTTATGGTTTAGATATAGTGTTAAAATAAGAAGATATAGTGTGAAAATAAGAAGAAAAAAAATGTATATTATAGATAAATATACATATACTATTCATTTAAATATTTAATATCTTTATTATTTTGATAAGAAATTAATATAAATATTGTTGGGGAATAATCCGGTGGGCAAGCAAACAAATTTCATGAAGATGGTTGTTGAATGGTATAAAAAGGAAAAAAAAGGATAACAACCATCAATGCGACTCCTTTTTCAAAACCCATAAAAACCTTGTATTTCTCTTTGAAAATGAACATAAAAACAATTAGTAAATAGTCTAAATTGATTAAATAAATAAAAGGGTAAACTACACAGTTGGTCACTAATGTTTGGGTTAGTTTTTGTTTTCACCACTGATTTTTTAAAAGTTACATATCGGTCACTAAGATTATCGATTGGTCACAAACTGGTCACTCAACGTTAACATCCAATAACAAACGTGAAGAAAAATAAAGTTGGTGCGTTAACTGCTGACATGGATGGGTTGATTGCCACATTAAAAAAGGATAAATTAAACAAATGATAACTAATGTTTAAGTAAGTTTTCATTTTCCCCACTTAAGTTTCAAAAGTAACAAATTGGTCACTAATGTTATCAATTTGTAACAAAATAGTCACTCACCATTAATCTCCATTAACGTGGGTGACGAAAAACTTACGTGACCCTTTAAGTGCTAACCTGTCAACCTTTTCGTCTACTTTCTTCATCACCTTCTCTCTTTCATTAAGCTCATGTTTTATTTTTTCTGATATAAAAATCTTCTCTATAAAATCACTCTCCTTTAGCCGATAAAACCCTCCATTGCAAAATAGTTTTGGTTACTTTAAGCCTTGTGATCAAAAGACTTTTTAAGGCTGACATCATTGTAAACAAGCAGAACAAAAGTTGTTTTATTCATGCTCTCGTGCTAGCGAAGGAAATGAACGTAAACTCCATTAGAGTTATTAGTTTTGAGCAAATAAATTATTTATTGCTTCTTGCTACCTCTACCAACATACTCCATAGTTTCATCCACCACAGAAGTAATGGAAGGCGATAATAAAGATCAATACATTCAACACCAAGACGTTTCAAGCTACATTTATAAGCTGCTTGCACATAAGTAGGATCACCCTCCTAATGATCATAAGTTAAACAAGTAAAAAATAGTAGGATTCGAAACCAAACGGGTTGTTTGAGGATTTAGAAATAACATAAATTAGTTTGAAGAGGAAATTGAAATTTATGATTGGTGCAACCAATAACGGGATTAACTGCAAATATTATTGAAAATGAACCTCCCATGATCACATCCCAAGCAATAAAATGTAAATTATATTGGTTAAACTTAAAGTCAAAGAAAAAGAAAGTTACAGGTGCAAATAAACCAGGGGACAATATTATTCAAAAAATAAAAAAGGAGGGGTTTAATTACTAGCCCCGTCCATCATGTTGTCCCAAGTGTACAAACTTGAGGTCTAATTGTATGGTAATCTTGTTCAAGCTGTGTGGGTAACATGAATTTGAGGACTAGTGTGTATTGTAATAAAGAATAAGAAACTGAAGGTATTCGTTGTTTTTAGAATGCAAATAAATTTGAGTAGATTTGTTGGTGAAGGATTCATGATGTCATATTTTAATGATGTAGAATCATGATTATGATTCATTTCAGAGTCAACTAAACTTTTGATTACGATTTATGGTATCTTCCATCCATTGATGCTGAGTGGAATGGAGTTTACGTCCTCTCCATCTTTGGCACGTAGACATGGGTAAAACAACTATTTCTCAACTTGTTTACAATGATGTCGGCGTAGAAAAGTTTTTTTATCACAAGATTTGTGTATGTGTTTTCAACAACTTTGATCCCCTTATAATAACCAAATTTATTTTATAATGAAGGGTTTGATCGAACAAGGAAGAGTGATTTTACAGAGATATTTTTATAGCAGAAAAAGTAGAATATGAGTTTAAGGAAAGAGAGAGTGTGATGAAGAAAGCGCACAAAAAGGTTTACAAGTTAGCACTTAATGGGTCAAGTAAGTTTTCGGTCACCCACGTTAACGGTGGTTAACAACGATTACAAATCGATAACATTAGTAACTAATTTGTTACTTTTGAAACTTCAATTGGGAAAATGAAAACTTACTCAAACATTAGTGACCATTTGTGCAGTTTACCCTTTTTCTAATATGACATTCAACTCATCCATGTCAGCAGTTAACGCGCCAACTGAGTTATTCGTCACGCATGTTAACAGCTTCAGATATGTATCAGTTGAACAACAAAATTTAAAAGTTAGCTCTGCAACTATCTAAACAAAATATTAATTGAAGTAGCTAAACAGCAAAATATTAATTGAAGTAGCTAAACAATCTTATTAACTTTTAACCTATATTTAACGTATAAATCTTTCGGAATATAAAATATATTTTAGATTTTTAATAATAAAAGTCGTTTTCAGATATGTATGGTCTGTATTTGACCCTACAAAACCAAACCCTAACCCTAAAATTCCGAATCCTCACGTATCCCATGTTTGTACGTAATATCCTTGCAGACAAGGGCTTAGATTTTTTAACTTGGTGTTTTAAAAAAGTAGATTTAAAAAATATCATGTAGCATGTTTATAAGGAAAATGTCATTTTAATTATAGAATATAATTACTGATTAATTCATAATGAAATAGATAAAGACGTGGCATTTAAGGCTCTCAAAATCAGTTACCTAATTATTGTGTCTGATATAAGTTGCTTGAGCCTGTAAAATTACCTATTGTTTCTTGAGATATAAAATGAATAAATAAATTGTTGAGAGCGTACGGGGCAAGGAGAGCTGAGATTGATTGGACACGGCGTCGTTTTCAATCAGCCTGTGTGGCTCGCATAAGGATGCATTACTGTCGTTTTTGCTTGATCTCGACCATCCGATTGATGTGGATATTCCTTTCAACTTTGATGTCTCACCCTCTCTCATTTAAGGTAATTTTATATTAAAAATCTTAAATAAAAAATTATTTAAAGAAATAATATCTTTTAGAAATTATTTGAGAGAATAACTTCTAAATCGTCAACATAAGATGATCTCACAGACTGTAAATAGCGTGTTAAATCATCACACCTTTCAACATGCGAAATGCATCTAATGTGGGCGTACTTTTCAGGTAAGTCAATAAAAGAATTGAATAAAATGATATCGTGTATTGCGAAACGCGAGATAGCATGAGAACAAAAATATCGCAAGATTTATGAGAGATCTCGCAGCTTGCAACACACGAGGATCTTTCAAATTGAAATTAATGACGAATAAATATAATAATAATAATTAATAATAATAATAATTAAATTTAATAAATAATTAAAATATAATAATAAATAAATATAGTAATTAAAATATATATTTTATAAATAATAATTATAATATATTTTGAAATTTATAAGATAAAAATTGGTATTAATTTGTTGAAAACAACAATCTCACGCCTTGCAAATCTCGAGGTACTGGAAACAATTTTTTTTACGTGTTTTCAATTTAAATCGCATCTTGCCGAACGCGAGATATTTAAAACTGCGTTTCCTTATGTGCGAGAAGACATAAATATGGTCCTCCATTCCTAATCATCATCACACCCATTGTTTTCTTATCATCTAAATTGTCATATTATTTTTTTTTAATATATTTAAAGATTTCATATTATGACGGCGTGCTTATTAAAACATGATCGAAGTCACATATTCAATTATTGAAGGCGAAATGATGAGATAAATTAATTAATTTTTTTATTTTTAGTATTTATTTGTTTGTTTAGTTTATTTGTTTTGATATTTAAATAGTTTTAAATATTTATTTTATAGGGATATGATTTATGAACGTGTATTAGAGTGTCATATAAATCATGTTATAATGCCCGATGCGGATATTATTGACTATTTACATTTAACGAGTTTCAGATATATCAATAGTATAATCGGTGGCGGTGAGAAGTTGCATCCTCCACTTATAAATGCTTTGGTGGAAAGATGGAGACCGGAGATGCACACATTTCATTTACCGTGTGAGGAGGTAACTATTACCATACAAGATGTTGCATTTCATCTGGGACTGCCTATTGATGGAGTAGCTATTGATGGTGTTGCCGACGCTTCTAGAAACGTATGTGAGGCATTGCTAGGAATTATTCTGCCTGATAATGCACGCGATAGTGGAAAAATAAAAATTAATTTTTTAGATGATAATTTTACGCACCTACCGTACGATGCAGAACATGTAGTGAATGATGTAAATATAAATGTTTTTATTTATGAATATTTCTTAATATTGCAATTTATTTATTTATTATTTTAGAAATTAAGTAATTATATTATATTATTTTATTATTTTTTTGCAAATGATTTGCTCGTGCACATATGCTACGAGTTATTGGGGGATTTTAATGCCAAAAAAATCCTGAAATAAGGTGCAGCTGATGTGGTTGAAACATTTGCAAAATTTGAGTGATTCAAGAAATATAAGTTGAGAGTTGATAATTTTGGCATTTTTGTTCCAGGAGCTTTGTAAAGATGTAAATCCAACAAAAGATGTCATTGGAGAATGTTTATTGTTGTTACAGTCGTGGGCCTGGATCCGAATGCCATTTTAATTTTTGATTGTTAAAACATATGTTCCATATGAATTTTCGTTATTTAAGAGGTAAAAAAATTAATTTTTATCTATTTTTATAATATTACTAACAAATAATAATATTTTATTGTATTAATGATAGGTGGACTGATTAAACCTCTCACGCCCACCTACCAGCACACCAACGAGACTTCAGACTGTTGATCAATAAATTTCGACATTAGGTAATAAATATTTTATTTCGACTTTAATTTAATTTATTTGAGGTTTTTAGCTAACAAAATTATGTAATTT